GATATTATTTCATCCACCTTGTCTATATTCCTTACAAATCAGAGTAAAAATGTGCTGAACACCCTGTGAAACTAAACCATTTATTTTCACTCAGCTGTAGGCTAGACTCCCAATTTGCTTGGTCTAAGCAGAAGACTACAGTGAATAATAAGGCCCACCTTCACAGTTGTTGTACTGACATGACTATGTTGATTAGGGGTGTGATTTTTTACTGATCTAGTTCAACCCCAGTTGATGCAATTACATTGACATGAAGATGCCCTATTCTGATATAGTTTATTCCTCTTCCTGTATGGGGGAAAAGCTGTATTGCTAGAAGCATTCTTATACTAGTATATCTGCATCCACACTCTGAGGGTTATGCAGCTTTAACTACACTGGGATAACTGAAGTAGTACAACTTTTGAGCATAGATAAGATCTAAGGCCAAGTGCACACTACAAAATTTTGTCAGCACAGCTATGCTAGTTAGGTATATAAACCCCTCCCTCCCCCCCTCCTCCTGCCTCCTAGCCAACATAGCTATGCGGGCAACCCCCAGGGTAGATGCTGCTATGCCGACAGAAGAGTGCTGGTGTTGGGATAGCTAATGTCTTTTGGGGAGGTGGTGTTACTCTACTAGCAGGGCTATGTCACAAATAGCTGTGTAAGTGTAGCTGTATCGGCAGAGCCTGGATAGTGACTGTAGACTAGCCCTAAGACCACACTAGAATGAGCAGCTCGCAACAAAACTAAATGGAGAGAAAAAACCCTCCTAGAAATGCTCCTCCAGAATATGATGGAACTTCCCTGGAAAAATTCAATCAGCTGTGGGCTATGGCTTGTGTGTGGAGTATATGACTGAAGCAATTTCTATCAGAAGTAGACCAGGGGAAGGATACATGAGATTCTATCACAACAGCAGCAACAAAGCTTCCATCAGGACCTGAATTCTCAAGACATCGGACGAAAGCAGGTGGCAATCAGCTGTCAGTGGGGTTACTAAGTATCTTTCCTACTTTGGTCCTCAAATGGCAAGTGTAGGTTTGTTTTTTGTTCTTTATTTTAACCACTGGGACAATGGCTCAGGGTTTTATCTGCTCAATAGATGTGAGGTGTTAAACATATTACAGCAGAACAGAAATAATGCTAGAGTGTGGGAGGGTGTAATTGTTGGCAAGGATCAGATAGGCATCTCTAACAATATCAATTTCCTGTGGTTACACCAGTGGCAGGGATGAATTCACCATCCCCTTCACAGCATCTTCTATGCCGGTTGTTTTGCCTCAGTTTCTACAGAATGTGTATTTTGCTGGTAGAGGCATTTGTCTGGGACTAGTATGGACCATTCTCCTTCTCCTCTCTTTCTCTTCATCCCGGGGCTCACTGTAAGTTTCCATTAGAGAGGAAGGAGTTGCCGCTGTCAGGAAATTGTGGCATTGGAAGCTTGTAAATGTGCAAGTGGTAGCAAAAGATTAACCACAGAAGTTAAACTTAGCACTGGGGGAAACAAAAGCTTCCGAATCCAAGGAGCCACATGCTGCTCAGAGCCACTGAAACCCAGGTCCTTAGTTCAGAAGCATAACAGTAGCTGCACAAGGCTACAAGCCAGTAATCAGTCTGTGACGTTCATTCCTGAATGTCGCTCAGTTCCTTTCTCTTGAAGTCAGTAGCTGAAGCCTCAATGTATTTGCTTTAAAATGAAATGTAAGAATCTAGCTGTTAGTTGCCAAATGGTTCCTCCAGAGACTCAAGTCTTGCCAAAGAGACCTAGTTCTTGGTAGTTCTGGTGGGAAGGCAATATGTCAAGGCATTTATAAAATGATAAATCCTTTGAGGTCTGTGAATAGATGATGAACTATAAGGAGTAATGAATGCTTTTGGAAACTTCATGTTGGACAGTAAGCAATTTGGAGATGGGCCTGTAATGTCCTGTATGTGCTTGTACACCAGCTCATTTAAGCTTTTATATGCTACATAATGCAATACTACTATTTAATTCTTGTAACACTCATGTAATGTATGGCACCATATTTTTATACTATAGCCATTCTAGAGATAGATAAACCAAACTACTCAAAAGTTAAAATGGAGCCCAGAATGTGAGTCAGTGGCAGAACTTGGAAACAGAAGCCAGGAGTCTTGTCTCCCAGGGCTATGCTCTAAGCATTTGACAGTTTTATAGCCCCCTGCTTTCCCTCCCCCCTTTTTTTTTTTGGTTTCTGGACTTTCCCTGGATTGGTGGCCCTCACAATTTTGTGAATATAATTCACCATTGACACTTCCATACAAATCTGCAAGTCAGTAAGAAGTGGCCAAATGCAAGTAAAAATGACCCGGGTACTGCAAAGCCTCCAATTAAAAAATATAAAATAAAATAATCACTGCATGCAACAGTGAAGGAGAAGCTGGTTCTTGGCAGCTACTCTTGGTGCTTCAGACCAGTTTAATACTCCATAGGTTTCCTGTGAACACTTATAGTTTCACTGCACATCCATGCATTGCAGCAACTTTTTAGAGCCTATGATGCTGCATCTACGTTAGCTAGAGATGGATTTAGTGATGGGAAGATTCTTCACAGTTTGAGCAATTCCAGAGATAATACACAAATAGAGTAGCTGATATGTTGGCATGATGATAAAATACTTCAGCTGTTCTCCTGTGTAGGCTTTAATGGAGCCTCCCATGCAAAAACTAAGATGGGCCAAAAGCACTAGTGCAACCCCATGGCTGTGAAACAAGTTCTTCAGGCTTTTACAACTAGACTATCAAGTTGCCATAGACTGAGTGCATTACAGCATGTTGCTGTCTTGCAGGGAGCCCTGGCAGGAGTGGATAGTCTGGGAGTGGTCTGCCTTTGTCTGTTCTTCTCAGAGAACTGATGTGCGCAATAGCTCCTCTTCCACAAGATTACTCGAAATGGAACCCACCAGTGATCAGTATAGTCTCTCCACCTTTTCAGCATATCTGAGACCTCCTGGAGAGAGGCAGGGAAATGCCATGGGCTCTCATGCCACCAATACACTGATGACAAATAGCTTGAGGTTGTATTGGAACAAACACAAGATCAACATCTAAGTAATTAAATTCAAAAGGAGGAAAAACACCATAATGGTAGATCTAATGAGCTGAGGTACAAATAAAATACATTGTATGGCTGCCATAAAAATTAACTCCAAATATACTTAAAGGTTATGAAGTTCTAACTACACATCTAGGGTGGAATCCTGGCCCTGCTGAAGTCAATGGGAGTTTTGTCATTGACTTCAATGGAGACAGGATTTCACCCTTAGTGTTTAAAGCACAGGTATAATGCTGATTTGGGGAAAGTGTTTGTATATCACTTTCTTGGCTTAGCTGATGGAAGTTTTAGACTATTATTGAATAAGGAGAAATCATGAAGTCCTTTTCCAAAGGGCAAAGGGTCAGAACTGACAGATTTCCAGAATAAAACCTGCCCCATGAAGCTAGAGTAAAAACCAAAGAGAAACACAAAAAGGCATTATTTGCTTGTCAGTGGAGCTATTACTAGCTTCGTTTTTACATTACATCTTTGCTTTAAAATAATTCAATATTTTATTCAATAAACTTGGTTGATCTTCTGAGGTAGACTGGATAATTAAGCTCTCTAATCCATTGGTAAGCTTTAGAAAAAAATCCAGTTGACCTTGGACAATAAACCTCTGACTGCTAGAACCTGGGCCTGAACGACAGGGAGTGGATTACTCTACAATTGCCCTCTTCTGTGCATTCCCTCTACAAGCATCTGGCACCAGCCAGTCAGAAGACAGGATACAGGGCTAGATGGACCATTTGTCTGATTCAGTATGGCCATTCTTATGTGCTTATGGATCAGCATCACAGACTGGGATAAGGACTAAAACAATCATATTTTCCTGAAAATTTTATTTATGTAACTTCTAATGTGCATTCCTTATAGATACTGAAGTGTGAGCCTCTGAATGTTTGGAAATTCAGATATTAATGCATAACCTCTATCTAGCACTTTGTAGCTTCAGCTCTTATCTGACAACCAGAGAAATGTCACACAAAAGCCCTGGAAGGAACCTAAGAATTATTTTACACATGGTGAAACAGAGACAAAGATGTTAAATGACCTGCTGACGGTTACAGCAGGAGTCTGTTTAAGAGAGAGGCCAGAGGAACTACTGACTTTCAGATCTGTGCTCAAAACCATTTCTCCCTCTCTGATAAATGCCAACATTTCAGATACTGTCCTTGTCAGACCTTTTCATTCAGCTAAATTGGGCTGGAGATCTCTGATGCACTACCTTCCTTTAAGATATTTCAGTACTTGTTGCATCTGGATGGGATGGGATATAAAGTAATGTTATGGCAGGTGTCACCAAGTGACACTGTTACATTTAGTCTTCCAAGTTCTTTCTTAGTGTATGAACAAATGTTCAGTCTTGGAGAGACATGCTATGTGTTGTTATATTTGAACTTTGCGAGCAGCAGGAGAGTTTGCTCTCTGACTTGATCTCTAATTAGCGGCAATTCTTAAAGTAGAGTTGCTCCCTGGGAACCAGGTATTGGTGTTGAGCTGAGATTCTTGAGAGAAGAAATTGCTTACATGCTTTTGACCATGTTTGTTCCAGGACTGATATATGCATGTAAATAAAGCAAATTATGCTTAGACCATTCCCAGACACCATGTCACTAATTTCTCCACCACTGCAAAACTGAACTGCAAGACCCTGGGGACATCTGTTCCTGCTCTGCAGGAGAGCAACAATAACATAAGAATAGGCTCTCTCGTAGTAAGTTAGCACACCCACCTTTGGTGAGAACCATTATATGTAGAGTCAGTAGGAAAAATAATTTTTGAAAAGTTACTTTGTTTAAGTTCTGTTGATTGTTTACATTCTGGGCAGAGGTTAAAGTTAGTTCTCATTTTTTCCAAACTGATTTGTTTAGCACTACTTACAGAAGGTTTGTTGTGCACTTCAGAATGGTGTCTGCTAATCAACTTACATAACTGTTCGCCTTTGTGATTTCAGTGCAAGGAATTCACTGTCCACTCTGGCTATGAGGTGCTTCTCCAGCGAATGTTGGATGGGAGAAAGATGGCAAAAGATGTGGAGGACTTGCTCAAACAGAGGTAAGAAGTGGTGGTGAAGGAGGTATGAAAAACTATTTATGAACTCATCTCACCTATTCCTGAACACTCTTGCAGGAGCTGCAGGAGGATTCTGCGGGTCACTTCAGAATTTGATTCAGAGAGTACAGTCATACATGTTTTTAACAGAGAAGTCTGTACAGAAATGATCTCAGAGCCAACGAGTTCTTAGCAGCAAAGTCAGACACCACGTTGGCATATGAATCATTTGAATGATGATCCCTCCCCCTCCCCCACACTCCGCATAGCTAATTTAAGACATATTTCCGAAAATGAAATGAATGAAAATAAACAATGTCGGAGTTACACCTTGTCATGCAGTTAAACAATGCTTGGAGGAGGAATCATAGACATGAGCAAGAGGAAAGACTAAGTCATCTACCCCTCTCTACCAATGCAGGATTTTTCCCCTTGCACTATACGTAGAGATAGACCTGAGTTTCGAAGTTAAGATCCAAATTTTCCCAAAGATTTTTTTGAGGGGGGTGCAATAGGAGGAGGTTTGGAAGGACTTTAGATCCCGAGTTCCATTCAGACCCATCTCTAATCAGTTCTGTGTTGTAAATACATACTTAACTGCACACGCCCAATTTATTGACTGAAGTGACAATCCTCTTTATTAACATCCAGAAGTGAAACATCACTGTTTTCCCTCAGTTCACAGAAAGCCAGTGCTTCACACATATTAGAATATGCTATTAGCCAGATTGGGTCAATTTCCTATAATTACTGAAATTTGATCTTTCTTTTGGTGTAACCAGGGGTACGTATGGTAGCTCTGCGTAGACCTTTCCCAGGCATTCTAGGATTGACCATATTAATTCTCCCATTTTTTCTTGTTCCTAGACCCTCTTTGAACATACTGTATGCATGTGTGTCCATCTGCAGCCTGTTTCTCACAGGTTGTCCCACAGCAACATGTGGTGGTTGCCATTAGTTTCTTGGTTAGAAAATACATAGAAACCGAGGCCACTCTTCTGTCTCATTTTTGTCCTTCATTTTTAGCTGAGACTTAGAAAAGTTCTATTCAGTATTTAGTTCCAGTTTTAATTGGCTGTGTTTAAACAACTTTAAGCCACCATGTACGCTGTATCGTGCTACCCCAAGGCTATTAACTCATTGAAATGTAAATAGTCTCCCACAAACATTTAAGTGGTTTGGGTTGATTTCCTTGAACGCTAATGGAAACGTCTTTTACTGTGTCACACAATCCCGCAGCAGTCTCATAATGACATTAGATGAACTGTACCCATTTGAAGAGACTTTGTTGTGGCTCCTTAAACTCCTAGAGATCAAACCCTTTCTTGCATGTGTCCGTAGTCGCTAGGAATTATAGTATGTGACTGAGATTATGGAGGGGTGGAGGTGGGGGGTTTCCATCATTTGCAGGATAAGCCTAACCATGGTGTGCAGGATGTGCAAAAAGGACTTTCCACAAAGCAGGAGAAAGATTCATCTCAAAGCCATTCTGAAACAAATAGCTGGAGAAATCTCTCAGAATTGTTCTTTCCATGAATTCTCACCCTCCTCCAACCTACTCCTCTGATCCGTAGTCCTGTACGTGTATGTGCACACGTGCGGCGCCTGTCAGAATCTCTTTACTTTTGGCTAGAAATGCATTGAAGCTGCCTCTTCCAAGAGTGATGCAAGTGCATGTTCGTGAGAAGGACAGAAGAGGGAGAAAGATGGGACAAACCAAACCTTTACTCTTGGAAGCCACATGAGTCTCAGTCAGTGATTTTATCACAGCAGGTGCTGAAAGGGCCTTGTTGACACCAACAATGGGTGCAGTTTTGACACCTATCTCAAAAGCAAACAAATTCTGTCCACAGCTATCCTGTTCTATGCACAAGGATGGGGTAAGATTACGGGGAGGATTAGGACAATGGTTCTTTAGGACAAACAGCAAATTTTACATAAATGCTATGCATGTAAGATTGTTAGGTCCTTCTATCTCTGTTTGTTTCAGTCTGGTTATGTTTTCAGGCGCTCTTCACAAAGTCTTAGAAACCTACTTTTAATTTTAAATGAGAACTACGGTTCTCCTTTATGGGGCCCAAACATTGATTCTATTAACAACTCCTGTAAGTCCCCTCCAGCTTATCAGCAGCCTTGGTCAACCTACGCATAGATCCAGTACTGTCAAATACGGAAATTCAAAAGTCATAAGTCATTCCCGCACTCCGGCCCCCAAAACCATGCGGTTTCAAGAAAATGCATTTTGCCCTCTGATTTTAGGACCTTTAAAGGTTCACATTCTGTGCAACTTTCATTAAAAAAAAAAAACATAAGCTGAGAGTCTCATGCAAATCACCCGACTGCAGGACCTGGGGCTTCCGGAAAAACAGCAGTATCATGAGAGCTGGCAACACCCTTTGATCACCATAGCACCACCTGAGTTTAAAAGATTCCAAATCTCCAATTCAAAACAAACAAACAAAGAGCCCTGTCACAAACCCCTCCATTTACCATGCAGTTTTTGTTCATGGATGATTATCCACATTTTCATGCCTATAATCACAGAAGAATCAGAATGTATTAACAGAACAAACATTAATCACTCTTTTCCCATGTGCAGGGAGGAGAACTATAAACTGTCTAATTGGCTGCTCCTTGCTGTACAACTATTATTATTCAAACACAGTCCTCTTCTTCAGAACACACATGTATTGCATACAAATCATAAGCCAACTGGCTTCTAAGGACATTATTAGAGAGAAGAGAAGGAGAATCTTGTCACCTTGTAAAAAAATTATCTGCTCTTTGAGCTGCACATATACAAGGGGACACAATAAGCTAATGTATGACAAGATCCCACTTCAAACAGTAAAGGCTCAGAGCTCTTAGATGTCTGTTTTCAGTACTTCCTTAGCAACTCCAGTTTTCACTTTAAATGCTTTTGGTAGTCCAGGCATCACCCTCTTTTGAACACTGACATGGCATTGCTGGCAAGGGCCTCTAGTCGTTGCATAAGCACTAGTGGTTTTGCAATGCACTGTGCTGTGGTTTTTGCTTTGCAAAAGTTTAAAACACAAGGTGTGTGTGTAATATACACATTTGCTTGAACCAATTTCCTGTATGTGGAATTAAGGCAGCAATTACAAATTAAAGTTTAGATATTTTCTGTATTTAAAAAAGAGAGATGGCCAGGTTAAAAATCATATCTTAAAAAATATGAAAGTGGCTCCAATCCTCATTTGGGGCCACGAAACACACAGTGCATCCAGGGTGCATGTACAGAAAGATGGCTTTAATCCACCTTTGCACTCCCCTGATCCTATGCAGGTCTGGCCCCCAGGGGCCATTGCAGGAGGTGAAGAATTACTGGGGAGCCCTGGCTACAACCCTTCTCCCCAGCCATGCCCCTCCCCCAGATGCAAGGATGGGCCAGTGGTATGGAGCCACTATGCAAGTTCTATGTTCTGAGGATTCGCCTACACTTGGGTGATCATCCCAGGGCTGGATACATTGGCTGTGGGGCTGCTTTGTGCTGCTCTAGTGGAGCAAAAGGCCCAAACACAGGTGAGGATTGGAGCTGAAGTTCTTATCTAGGGCAATGACAGCATCTCTTATTTTTAAGAGAGAAATAAAAAATGAATTTACTTTTCACTCTTTACTCTGCATTTCCTCTCACTTTATCCAATTAAAGTAGACTAGTCAGTTTTACTTTGAAGGAATCTCTTACAAATCTACTGTGTTAAACATAGGTAGTAAAGTGCTGTTGGGGCCATACTTGATATTTAGTTCCCTTTAGTCCCAGAGGATCCCAAAACCACTTGCACGTAAGCGGCTGCGTGTGCCCATCGACCACCACTTTGAAAGGGCATTCACCTCTGGGGTGGACTGCAGCAATAAACGGGCAGACCATAGAGGGCGATGGTAAAGATGTGAAACGTTAGCAGAATAATTTATTCAAAATCTGAAATCGAGTACAGCAGGTTGTAAAGTAAGGCCTATCGCAGCAAGTATATACAGAGAAGTGTTTGAAAGGCAACTAGGTATCTTTAAAGACAGAATCAATCAAATAATCTCCTTGTGGCAGGGACTTGTCTGAATCCATATGGAGAACACCTGGTGCCGGATAAACAACAAAGGTCAGAGTGACAAATCAGGGAAATGGGGCTAACATTAATTTAAATGGGGCCTGTTAGGCCAAATAGCCATACACTTGTCTGGGAATTCCTTTTGGATAAAGGGGATAACTTTCAAAAGTGCCCAATTGACTTAAGAGCCTCAGTCCCATTTCCAAAAGCAACTTGGGTTTCTAAGTGTTTAAAAAAACAACAAGGAGTCCGGTGGCCCCTTAAAGACTAACAGATTTATTTGGGCACAAGCTTTTGTGGGTAAAAAATCCACTTCCTCAGATGCATTTTTTAAATGAAAGTTGCACAGAATGTGAACCTTTAAAGGTCCTAAAATCAGAGGGCAAAAAGCATTTTTTAAAAAACCTCGTGGTTTTGGGGGCCGGGGTGAGGGAATGACATGACTTTTTAATTCCCCTGTTTGACAGTACTGGATCTATGCGTAGGTTGACCAAGGCTGCTGATAAGCTGGAGGGGACTTACAGGAGTTGTTAATAGAATCAATGTTTGGGTCCCATAAAGGAGAACCACAGTTCTCATTTAAAACAAAAAGTAGGTTTCTAAGCCTTGGTGAAGAGCGCCTGAAAACATAACCAGACTGAAAGGAACAGGGATGGAAGGACCTAACAATCTTACATGCATAGCATTTATGGTAAAATGAGTGAGTTAAATTTGCTGTTTGTCCTAAAGAACCATTGTCCTAATCCTCCCCGTAATCTTACCTCATCCTTGTGCATAGAACAGGTTAGCTGTGGACAGAATTTGTTTGCATTTGAAAGAGGTGGCAAAACTGCAGCCATTGTTGGTGTCAACAAGGCCCTTTCAGCAGCTGCTGTGATAAAATCACTGATTACGACTCATGCCCAAATAAATCTGTTAGTCTTTAAAGTGCCATCAGACTCCTTGTTGTTTTTGAGGATACAGACTAACACGGCTACCCCCCGATATGAAGAGTTTAAGTCACTTTTGAAAATGGGACTTATGTGCAAAAAGGCACCTGTTTACACCCAGCATACGCCACTCAGTTATAGTCCAACTTTTCCACCCAACTGTGAGCCAAGCAAAAATAGAAGAGCCAATTTAATACAAAAATGTATTCTCTTTAAGCAGATAAGAGTTTCTTCCAAGTCAGGGGAGAACCTCAGTGGGTGTCTTTTTAGATGAGCTCTTGATAGCAGTGGCACTGGGGAGAGAGAATAAAGACAGCTACAAACCAATTGTTTGCATCTCAGAGTCGGCTACAAATGCATTATTGCAAACATGGGCCCAACCTCAACAGAAGAAAATAACTAAGGAATTTTGTTAACAGGGCACAAGCAGAAGAGAGATATGGGAAAGAGCTGGTTCAAATTGCCCGAAAAGCAGGAGGACAAACCGAAATCAAGTAAGTCTTTTTCGAGTTTGTTGCATTAAAGTACCTCCTGTTAGAGACATGGCTTCACTGAAGAAAAGGTCAGGAATGTGCATTTCACACTGAACTAAGATTACATTTCAGTTGGCTTGGGAAGCCTTATTATCCAGTAAAGCTCAGTTCACCTCATGAAGCATTCTTTCTCCATTTGGCCCCTCTCGGCAGCTTGGTAATAAAATGGCAGTTGTTGCTGGGCGTTTCTTGAACAAGTTTTTATTTCAGTATTACTGAGCTCTGCAACTGCTCTGTGAAGGAATGAAAAGGAAAAGAGATTTGGACTTGGGCAGATCTAGAAATCTTGGTAAAGCTTATTCTACAGCCACTTGAAAGGCTTTCACTCTTCAGCTCTATTAACTAATGTACTGCAGCATGTTCAAAACAACACATGGTGCTTCTCCATGCCCTCTACTGTTTGCTGACAGTATGTATAAAGTGTGGGGAAAGAGGAGAGGTATGTGTTGGCAGGGAATTCTACTTCATAAACAGCACTGCAAGACCGCTGCTATTTCTGATTGACGCGGCAGTAATGAGACATCCTGTCATTACAGTCATAAGTAATAAGTAGTAGTAATGGTGTATTAAGGTGGAAGAGGATGAAGATTTGGGGTCACAGTAGTTAGGGCTGAAAGAGTGGACTCCAATCTACACAAACCTGCACTAAAGATCCCCAGGGTCACTCACCCCCTCCAGCCCAGATCTGATTTCTTAATTGCATCCTACTGGTTTTGTCAATTTATCACTCACTTCCCCCAACGTGCATATGAATTTCTGTTAGTTTTTAATGGAAAATCTGACCTCAAACCCGTGGATTATTTCCTGGGCACCATCATAGCATGCAAGTACCAATCAATCACCTGTATCACTGGCCCTCATATGCTGTGACATATCCCAGATTAAAGGGCCTATGGGGAAATGCTGAATTTGACTCTGGCTATTAATTTGAACTCTTAGATAAGCCTAGTGAAAAGCAGCGTAGAGATTTGAGGCTCACACTAAGGGACATCTCAGGCATTATTTTTCTTCGCATGTTCTCCCTTTCCTTTGCTGTGGGTCTCTAAGAAAATCCAGTAAGTTAAAAGGAAGAATTCTTTCGGCTGGGGAAATCAGTTTCTTGCAATTCTTGCAATTTCCGTTGAAGATGGTTTTAAACATTCTGATGGTCCATTTCATAGAGTGAAAAAAAAAAAGACTAATGGTTTCAGAATTAAGAGAGTGGATTAATGATGGACTGTTTTGTCTCCAGTAAATCTGTATGCCTTTTAAAGGTCCAGGACTTGCAAGAAAATTTCTTCAAAATTTCCTTTCTGGCAAAGTAGGGCCGCCAGAGATCGTGCCTACAGAAATGAAGGGCTTTCGCTGCTGTCCTACAACTTCAATAGGCAACCTATGGAAATTGTGTCCTCAGTAACTATAATAATTTGATCTAAAGATAGGCCTAGGTTTCAGCATTGGGATATGAATCTGAATTTCCCTAAAGTTTGGGGATGTTCAGATCCAGGGCTTGGGTTCAGGCCCATCTCTACTTTATACCGGTATTTATAATACTTTGTCATGGACACAGAGGTGAATACACTGGCACAGTGTGTTGTAAGTGTTGCAAAGCTCATTTAGAGAGGAATGTTTCTATAAAACCATGGCCAGCCTAGTGGTAGCGATCCTCTTCGCTGTGATGCATATTGTCCCAGATGTCTCACTGTAGTGGTATATTGGGGTTGAGAAGGAGAGAAAGTACCTTTCGTCACTCAGCATCCTCTCTGATTGTTTAAAGAGCTACACAGATGGACTGAGAAGGGACTCTTGTCTAGAATACGGGGATATAAACCAGACAAAACTGAGATCTAAGCATGGCACATAATGGCATGACTAATGAAAATATAATACGTAGTTTTTATAGCCTATATTTTGACACCATGTCATGTTTTTGTTTGCTTGCCTGGATATATGCTGCAGACAGTAACTCTGAAGAAGCAATTCAGTCAGAGAGACTCAGAGAGGGAACAAACATACTAGTGATAGTCAAGTATCAGAGGGGTAGCTGTGTTAGTCTGGATCTGTAAAAAGCGACAAAGAGTCCTGTGGCATCTTATAGACTAACAGACATATTGGAGCATAAGCTTATGGTGCCACAGGACTCTTTGTCGCTTTTTAGTGATAGTCAAAAAGTTTCTAAAAGAATTGCACCACAACTAACCTCACATTCCACATTCTAACTGCCTAGCCATTAAATTAAACGAAACTTGTACATCTATGTGAAATAGTGAATAGTTTGTCACTCCCAATAGTATTCCAAAATTTAGACTGAACTAGGAATAAAATGTCTCAGCGTGTTCAAATGCAGCTTTGGAAGCTGCATCTGGACAGCAGTAAATCTGAAATGTAACCTAAGGATTTTGCTAAGCATTTGAATTTGTGACTCATATTCAACAATTAGCAGGAAAAACAGCTTCAGTTTTTCTTGCAGAACACTTTAGTGAACTTCCTGTGTCATGCCATATATAGAATCATAAAAGCTAGAGGTGGAAAGAAAAAAAACCACCTCAGGTCACTCAGTCTATCTTCTTGCCAGTAAAAGATTGTGCCCTAGTCTTTTGTCCAGTCCAGTTTTAAATGTCTCTAGGGAAGGGGCTTTCCATCACTTCTCTTGGGAGATTATTTCATATTCTAGTAGAGTTCAATGTCAGGAAGCTTTTCCAGATATTCAGCCTAAAAACGTTCCTTCTCTTAATTTCATCCCATTACTCCTAGTTTTTTAGCTTGATACAAGGGAGGAAAATTTACCCCCGTAAATACCCAATCCCAGAGAACATCCAGAAGGCTCCAGAGAGAAACAATGGCAAGGCCAAGATGTTAATCATTACCAACAACTGCTGACTGAAGTGACTGATGAACTGGTTGAAAAATATCCCCATGGCTCCCGCAAGTCAGTGATTCTCTGAAGAACTTACATGAAATGAAGCAGGAAGGCAAAAGGGGCTGGAGTGCTTAAGGCATAAAATCTACACAGCCCCAGTCTAGGAACAGCTGGCCTACTGACAAAGAACCACTGGCAGACCTACACTGCAGACAGAAACGTAGCCAACAGAACCTTCCTCACAGACACAGTTATATCTGCCAAATCACAGATAGCAGAACTGTGACATGCAGCAAACAGCCTAATAGAGCCCCAAATACCCATGCCAATATGAACAGTTCTGCCCAACTTCACAGTCAATCATTGCCACTGGGCACTTTACAGCTCCTGCCCCCAAGGGAGTTTAGAAACAGGGATCTTCTCTAACATCCACTCTACCTGGAGAAGTGGCCTGGGAACTAGAGAAGAGCTGTAAGAAGAAACTAGCTGCAGTACAGGAAAGCCTGATCAGGTCTTCACCTCAGCCCAGCTGGGATGGGAAAGGAATGAGGCTAGGAGACTAAGCAGCACCAGTGAACACTGGCAAGAGGGAGCAGCCACCAGGGTTCACCTTTGTGAGCTTGCTGCCTCTTCTTTACAGCAGATATCTTGGGTTGATAGGAGTACAGCCTGCAGCTAACCGTTGTGTGCCATGGAGAGGGGAGAGCAGAGGGCTGGCAACTTGCCGGCTGACAAGTTCGGGCTTGAGGGAGGACCAAGCAGCCAAGATATGGATCCTTAGAACCAAAGATTCATGCAGAGACTGGACCCCAGAGGAAGAGACTCAAGGCTAGTTCTTAAGTTCTCTTTCAAGCCTCCAATTAAGTTTTGGATGAAGTTACTTGTATTTTATCCAAACCAACCTGCCTGTGCATCATATACCTAGGACAGTCTGCTGCGATAATTCCCTGGTAAAATTAAAAAAAAGATTCCCCTCTCCTAAATTGGATCCAACACAACAAAGGCCTGGCCTCCAGTGATAATGGAGACGTTCTTGCCTTCTAATACCACATTCAATAATTTTTTCCTGAGTTTAGCAGCAGTATTCGCTCAGGAGGCTGCATCACAAGTAACAACTAATGATTTCTTAGGTACTCAATATAGTAACTGTTTCAGGTTCACCACAAACAAATGACTTGGCCAATGAGAAGGCTTGAGTGGGGATTCTAAGGTTGTACAATCAGGAAAGCAGCCGTGTTTAGGGAAATGGTAGGAAGAGGAATTTTGACAAGAACTTAGTTGAGTTATTACTAATAACTCAATGGCACCATTTGTACAACAGAAAAGTTACCATAACCAAGGCCAGAAAGTTTTCAAAATGTAATTTTAGTTCAAAAATATTATTTATAAATGAACCCAAAGAAGAACGCAGTCTGAACGCAGGCATAGGAGTCAGGAACTGCCAACTTCTAATCCTTTCCCACACAAGTTCTAATCTAATTCACACACAAAAACATCATTAACATGGAGTTAAAGTTGCAGGTACTCAGCAGCGCTCTATGCTCCACCTGCCCTTCCAGAATGGAACAGTTTGAAAAGCTGGGAACACAGAGATACGTTGATGCTCCCTGCACAACCTCACCTCTGTCCCCGAGGAGGTGGCAATAGAAGCCAGGAATACAACAGTACCTCACCCCTCCCTAGCAAACCTACCATTTTCTCTGTGGTGCCCACAACTTTAAATCAGTACTTGGCCTGCTGGCCCCTCCCTGCTGCTCAGAGGGGTGCAGCGCAGATGGGAAAGCCCTTTGAAGATTAAAAGCACCGTGCATGTGTTAAGTATTATATTGACAACTGTCAGATCATTTTTACCAACTTTTTAAAGCTATTATATTTTAAGTAGTAGAAATAATTAAACAAAATGATAAAAATTGTACAAAGGTACAAAACCTCTGAAAGAACATAAACCATAATAATGTAGGTCTGTTATCAACAGAAAAGAAGAATTTGCTTGCAGATCATTCCCTTTTTTAAACACTCCCTACTATTATTCAACTAGATTACTGTCCTTTTCTTCCAGTGGCCTAGCAACCTGCATACCTAATCTCTGTCTGTTTTCCCTTCCCAATTATTTCTACTTATG